GACTTTCATATCATATAATGATACGACCATCAGATGAAATCAATTTCCATCTCGAAACCTTCCCTTTCAAGCTATCTGCAACGATCAACCGATGGGTAATGTACTTCATGAGATATTTGGCTTTACAAAATGCACCTTTAAAGTCACATGACTTGTCACCCGATCATCACATCAGGTCAATTTGGGTCTAAACCCTTGCCCTCCACGCTACACACAAAGTTTTAGCCCAAAAGGACATGTACTTCTCAAGATACAGCACTTTAAACAGTGCCCCTTTAATGTCACATGACTTGTCACACGATGATACCACAATCACATCAGGTTAATTTGGGTCAAAAACTTTTCGCCTTTGAGCTACACACAAAGTTTCAACCAAATCGGAGATGTACTTCACGAGATATAGCACTTCATAGAGTGCCCCTTTAATGTCAAGTGACTTGGCAAGAAATGATGTCATCATCACATCAGGTCAGTTGTGGTCTTAAAACCCTTCCCCTTCGAGCTACATGTACATGTTTATACAAAGTTTCAATTGAATCTGACATGTACATGTACTTCATGAGATATAGCACTATAAAGAATGCCCCTTTAATGTCCCCTGACTTGTCACCTGATGACATCATAATCACATGAGATCAATCCGGGTCTAAGCTAAACACAAAGTTTCAATCAAATCAGAAATGTAGTTCTTGAGATAAAGCACTTAAAAAGTGCCCCTTTAATGTTACGTGACTTTTCCCAAGATGACGTCATAATAACATAAGGTCCATTCTGGTCTCAAACCCTTCCCTTTTGAGCTATACACGAAGTTTCAATCAAATCGGGGATGTACTTCACGAGATATAGCACTTTAAAGAGTGCCCCTTTAATGTCACATGACTCACCAGCTGATGACGTCTTTATGGGAACTTGTAAAGGAACTTTTTCTAGCTTGTGGTCTTATTGTGTGCCCCTAACACGAACTCAGTTAATCAATAACAGTGCAAAAGCAGTCACCTGTTGAAAAACATGTTAAAGACCAAAAAAACAAAAAGAACAAAAGAATGCCTTTTTTCGCAAAACTGCAAAAAAGCCAAAAAACCAGAACAAAAACAATAGCTGTTTCAGCCGATTGTCAAACAGCTAGAAAAAGGGGAAAAAAAAAACTTTAATGAAAGCAATAGCTGCTTCGGCAGTACACCAAAGCAGCTAAAAATACATACGTAAAACGAATGGGCATCTGAGTCAGGGGCAGTCGCTAGGGGAGGGGAGATTGACTCAAGGCGGCTGGCTAAAGTGGGCAGTAGCGAGCTTTGGATTCACGATGGGAAAGGACACAGGATTGGGAGTCTTACTGAACGCGACAGTCCCTATACACACGCTCCCGTCCTGTGTGTAAGTCATTTTGATTTCTGACGGGGACGGGGGCCTTGTGGTGCAATCACGTGACATTGGAATGCGGAAGTGTAATCAAATATCGCATGCAAATAAAACTGATCTCAAAATGGCGAATCTTCATAGGGTTAGAGACATCCTTGTCAGTGCTTATTTGTGCAATATTTTGGATGATGATGAAGGCCTACAACCATAGAGCAAGGACAGCTACAACTTCTTGAAAATGAACTTTCATTTTGAAACCAAACTATTAGCGCTAGTCCCACAATGCATACATTGCAGAAACGAGCCCGGTCAATTTTTAGTATTAGTGTCTCTGAGAGAGCGGACTGCCGCCATCAAGCCCGATGAAGAAATATCTTGCCTAGGTGTAGGGTGAGATTTCTTGCATCTGGACCCCATAGAGGACGATGAGTGTTTACGCTTTTTATGTGTGGTGATCTGGCCGTAGAACCTGAAGGAAGAACCTAAAAACCTTGGGCGTCAGCAGCATCTCTGGAATACAGGTTGTGAGAGGTCAAAGCAGGCTGAGCCACTGGGGAGCTGTGATGGAAGCACCTCGGATAGTCCTAGCCAGTAGGCAGAAGCCACAGCGATGAGTAGCATTCGAGAACCACAGCGATGATGCTGTTTTATAGCCCGAAAAGTGGTTGGCGAAGAGAGTAAGTTTACTCGCCCCAAGTGCAACGTCGAACAGGCAGAGTCACCATGATATGGGACATGATCCAGAGCCAGGTCCTGCTGTGGAAATGGATATGGCTGAACAACAGAGACCGCTTCAGCCTCCGAGAACGCCCCTTGTGAGGGAGGAAGGACAGCCGGGAGGGGATCCAGGTTGGGTGCTGTTGCCACTGGCTGAGGCTTGGAGTGTATCTTGCAGGCAAGCGCATCCCAGGTCAGGATCGGTGGCCTCATGGCCGAGTCCATCAGCAGACCGGAGCTGCGGATGGGGAGTGGTGGACAAAAGCCCCAGCGGTGTAGCAGTCCAAAAGGGGCGACATCATCCGATGCAAAAGCAGGCTGAGTGCCATGGCTGAATCAGTGGAGAGTGGCGAAGCCGCTGTGGAACACGTTGCTCGCTTGGAGGGGGTTGACTGGATCGGCTTCCGAGCGAACACCACCCAGCGAGTAGAAGCCAGTGAGGGACCTGGGGTAGACGGTGGACCGTTTCCCTGTGAGAGCCTCTGGGCCACTGGTCAGTAGGGTCGCTCGGGGGTGTGGTAGGTAGCGATGGCACAGAGCAAGGAACAGCTCCTTACGCTCTGGTAAACCGTGATCAAGGGTACTGTTACAACACAGCAAGCTCAACCCAATCTGTAGACATGTGGAGTGGGTGTCGATGACCACGGGCAGTATTGCAGCACAGCACACTCAGCCCGGTCGGTAGGTGTACTAGTAGTCATCAGTGATCAAGGGTAGTGTTGCGGCAACTGCTCACTCAACCCTGGCCTATTCACTCCACTGGGTCTCTCCCC